GCTTTATTCTCTCAAATCCACTTTCATTTCTACTAATAAATTGAGTGCATTCGATCCGCTTTAGATTAATCTCTCATCAATAGCTGTTAATTATACCAGAAATTACAAAAATTCAATTACGTGCTAATCATAAGATATTTATTTTATTAAACCCTTTCTAATTTAATCATGGTTCTCAGTTGAATAATTCTTCTTATTAAAGTCTATTTCACTAACATTTTAAATCATAGAAGCGATAAATTTCAATTGAGTTTTATCTTTGAAGAATTCTAAACAATTCGTTATTTTCTCATTTCTTAACATCTCAATTACCTCATTCAGGTAGGCTCTATCAAAATGCTTTGTCTAAGTCAATACCTAATCCAAATCGTCCTTACTGTTATAAACTTATTTTATTTCTTTTATGTTTTCCCATGAATAATTTACCTTCTTTTTTATGAATTACATAATCTCTTTCAATTCTGTTTTGAACTTTTCACAAAAGGTCTGAGTTTCTTTCCAATAATTCTTTGTCATTTCCAACTGCTTCAAATAAGATTTTTTCTAATCCTTCCTATCATCTAATGTTTTTCCAATAATAATTGACACCAATTTTTCTAAATCAGTATTTGACAATTCTAGAGGATTATCATTGTTTTTAATCAAATTCATATAGAATTTATCTTCCTTCTCTAGGAAATCATATATCTGATTTATTGATTCTTCAATTCCATCCCAAATTTCTTTAAACTTATTTTAAGTTGATGTAAGCAATGTTTTAAAATTCAACCTCTATTTTGCTAATTCAGATGAATCATTAAACTTAGAGTCTTCGAATTTCTTTCTCATCATATCTTAAAATTTTATTTTTGAAACCATGCATTTTAAATCCACTCCATGTTCCTCAATACATTCAGCACACAATTTCCTTTAGCTCTAACACTTGTGATAGGATAGACAGATCATTTATACTTGATTTCGAATATGATGAGTGCAATTCATATTCTTTTAAAAATAATATTGAATTTCTATTACTTTATTTTGAGTGTTATTCTATAAATCAAAATGTATCTTGCATAGTATTCTGTGGAAGAAATATCAATATCACAAAGATTCAGGGTAGATGTAAATTATACTAGGGAAAACTTACATAGACTTACGCATAATTGGATTCCTAAAGAATATAGAATGAATAAAACACAAATATTTCAACTATAATTATTGAGAATTTTTAAGTTTTTCATATAAATTTTATTAGAACATTACATTAAATAGTTGAAGGGTTATGTTTATAACGATTATTTGAAGATAATATTTATATCCTGTCAAAACAGGATATTAAAATATTTCTTCACTGAATGTAATAACAAAATTTATGTTAAAATAGAAAGATATCCTTTTTGCTATAACAAGCTGCTCCTTCTCTCTTACTACTTGTGCCATATCTAATTTGTTTTAATAAGTTAAGAACGTTAAAACTTTTTAAGAGAATTAATACAGTTATGTAATTTAGATAAATTTTGTTAATTCTAAAAATTTATTGTCTAATTGAGTAAAACTCAAAGTTATAGAGAAGAAGGTAATTTCTTAATTTCATATAGTTGACTGATATTATCGTGGGTTAGAATACTTATTGATGATTAATATATCTTTTCAGTCCTTTATTCTATCGAATACTTTTAATATCAATTGAAAATAATAAATAACAATTTATAAAAATATTACCAAGATTGAGTAATTGTAAAATTCATTCAATCCCAATTTTTAACTGTTTTATCATTTAAGATTATTAGTAAGTTTAATTATATTTTTTTATTTATTTAAATGTATCTTTCTTCTTATCTTTGTTATTCATTGTATCATTACCTTTATCTAAACTAAAGATCTAAATTTTACTAAACTATTAATAATCTTTATTACGACTAAACCTGTTTACTGTGTTTACATTATAAATTTAATAGTGTATTGCACTTCTATAAATTCTCAATATTAAGCAAATATTGAAATAGTAACAAAAAAACACAGATTACTCAAAAAAGTTATAATGAAATGATTAAATTATAATTGTAATGTTTTTAATGAGTATTCAAATTCACTTCTTTTGCTTTAAGTCTTCCAAAAAGCAACTTCTTTTGGATTTAAACAATGGTTTTAAATCTTTCCCTTAATGATTAATGAACTGTCCTTATAAGATAAGTGTTCCTGATGCTTCTAAAATAGGATTCTAGCATATTCTAAGTATTGTACGATCAGGATTACCTAAATAATAATTAACAATAAATACCATTTGGCAATAAGAAGCTATTTTGAAGAGGTATGTTGAACTAGGCAAGCAAATCTTTATAGTTACTATCTGATTGAAGTATTTCCTTTGATGTTCTCACATTCCAGAGACGAATAGACTTTTCTGAACTACAAGATGCTAATGTATTTCTATTAGGGGAGAAATTGACTGAATAAACTGTTGATGAATGGCCATCTAATTTGGCTTTTTATTATCCTGTCTTAACATCCCATAAACGGATGGAGTGATCTGCACTACCAGATGCTAATGTAGTACCATCAGGAAAGTAACAAATTGAATAAACCCCATTTGAATGACCATCTAATTTTGCTTTTTATTATCCTGTCTTAACATCCCATAAATGGATAGAGTTATCCGAACTACCAGATGCTAATGTAGTACCATCAGGAGAGTAACAAATTGAATTAACTTAATTTGAATGACCATCTAATTTGGCTTTTTATTATCCTTTCTTAACATCCCATAAACGGATAGAGAAATCATCACTACCAGAAGCTAATGTATTACCATCAGGGGAGAAATTGACTGAATAAACTCTTGATGAATGGCCATCTAATTTGGCTTTTTATTATCCTGTCTTAACATCCCATAAACGGATAGAATTATCCCAACTACCAGATGCTAATGTAGTACCATCAGGAGAGTAACAAATTGAATAAA